AGTCAGCTCCATCATGTACTACCTGCCACCTACTGCCTGTCCTTCATAAGGATTCCAAAACAGCTCAGCCACTAAACATTCATCGTAAAGAGGGCAACTGCTGTGTTTGCATTGGACTTTAGCCTCGAAAATAAAAGGACAATAATTAATAATCATATACGTTAATGGTTTTTAATTAGTTCACATCGTGTGATCATTGCACGTTGCAAAACTTCGGAAGAGAGCAAACATGTTATGTCGTGTGATTTCTCACATTGTAGACAGGATCATGTGTATCTGCGTTTTAATTAGCTTTAATTATAAGTTTCTTCCTTCGGGTGTTCTACCATCAAGTTTTGATTGTAGGCTAAGCCAACTTCGGAAAGCGTTTTCCACGACTGCGGGCATTGGGTAAGCCGGCTAACGTGACCTGAAAATAATAAGCAAGTGGATGCGACCCGGCCTTTTAAAGGCCCCGACGACATGTTGATACTTCCTAAAACACGAAAATCCTTTACGGAATTGTACTTAAATGAAGATTTCTGTCTTCTGCGTTGTTGCGCTGTGTAGTCTGGTCGATGTTAACCAACGTTTCATAGGCCATCCTGCCTCCGTCATCGACCAGACTACACAGTGCAACAACCCAGAAGACAGAAATCTTCATACTCATCGCCCTGATGACGGAGGCAGTATGACCTCTGAAACGTTGGTTGACATCGACCAGACTACACAGCGCAACAACCCAGAAGATAGAAATCTTCATACTCATCGCCCTGATGACGGAGGCAGTATGACCTCTGAAACGTTGGTTGACATCGACCAGACTACACAGCGCAACAACCCAGAAGATAGAAATCTTCATACTCATCGCCCTGATGACGGAGGCAGTATGACCTCTGAAACGTTGGTTGACATCGACCAGACTACACAGCGCAACAACCCAGAAGATAGAAATCTTCATACTCATCGCCCTGATGACGGAGGCAGTATGACCTCTGAAACGTTGGTTGACATCGACCAGACTACACAGCGCAACAACCGAGAAAACAGAAATATTCATACTCACCGCTGTGAAAACCTCAAATCTTACATAGTTAAATGAGTTAATACACACCTAGTGATAAAGTAAATGATGGCAAAAAGAAATAGAACTTATTGTTTAAAAATGTAGCTACTCAAAAATTAGTATTCTGTATTATCCCGGCCTATTGTCTCGGCTCAGTTGAGGCCCTACGCAGTAAGAATTTATAGTTTTTCCCTAAATGTTTTCACAGAAAGCGATCCGCGATCTTGGCACGACATTACCATAATTTCATGATGGAAATAAATGTATCGCTTTTCATGTACATAGTTCAGCAGATCCTTATTATTCCGAAGATGATGGTGTAGCTAGACCTTCTGTAAATGGTAAGCTTCTGCTAGACTATAAGGCGTGAAGTCCCTGAAGACAGCCATCGTTAACATATACTGGGTTTGAGACAGTACGATAAGCAGCTTTTTTCTTCGTAGATAGCTCTATGTTGTTTGCATGACGTCATTCAAAGTGGAATTTGTGGTCTTGGATGGAAAGTGAACTTCTTGTACCCTTTATAAAATAATACTTATACCTTATGTCACCGATTTCACATTATATAACCGAAATATGAAACCAGTTTAATCTTAATCGGAACAATTTATTGTGACAATAATTTACATATCATTTATCACCATCCTATGCGTTGTATACACTAAACTCCATTATAAATGTGAAGGTTTTTGAAAATCTAAATCTGTAATAACTGGGAATGATTTTAAATTATAAAACAATGAATCTTCATAAACAATGATCATGAATATTCCAAAACAATAGGAATCTATGGGAAAGTTGAATTACGTTATTTTTTAAATTTATGATCAGATTGCTGTTATTTTGGCAACAGGCCACAGTGTTTGTGGTGTTAGTGTGTTGTGCCCTGACGTTTCGTTATCTCATTTTACAGTCCGCTTAGCACTGTGATGATGTCACAGTGTCCATGACACGAATGGGGTTAAAACATAAATTAGTGCAAAATATAACCAAATATCTGTAAGGGAAATGGAACGAGAGTTCATTTGTCTATGATGATGTTCTGGGTTGTGACGTCGTATGGAATCATATATAGATACCAAAATTTCGGAGAAACAAATTGTCTCTTACTTTCAGGACTGAAGACATTTCGCTTCTACGATATGTTGGTATCCACCTACGATTTTTCAAATATCATAAGAGTTCATATATCTGTTATTGTATTATGTTTTGTCAATACTTAATATTGAAATATGTTCCTAAATAAACTAAATATCTGCTCAGAAATTTATGTCCGATACTACAGCGCGCCTTTTGTAGAATGGGTTACTGCCTCCATGATGATCGCCCTGTTAATGGTGGCAGCAAGTACATTCGAAACGTCGGTAAAATTCTATGAGACTATACAGCAACATACCAAAAGACAAGTCATCATCTTGATTAAAAGCCATTTTAAAACCAAAACGAAAGTAGATATTTCATCTAACCTGATTTTTTGAGTGAAATACGGGTTGTAAAATATAATGACGTAATAAAATTGATAAATGATGTTTCTTAGGTTTAAACTGGGAATAACTTTAGAAAAGACTGATACAATAAGAATAAAAACACAGGAAACAAACTGCAAATAAAAACTTATTACCTGCTTAAAAAATTATCAGTAAAATCAGAGACAGTATGAAGATAAATTAAAAGAAGACACGAAACCTAACATATTATACACATATATTCCCAGAGGAATACGAATATAGGAACATCTAAAAGCAGATGGTTACTAATTTGGCTAACAGAACCTGTGAACGCGATTCAGACACCCAATATTATGACGGAATAATAGAATATTGAAAATGGAATTACGTGCAAATGGTGTCGTTATGGCGTAATACGTCTTCATTATCGTTCCATGTCTCCTTACAGCATATGTAGTATCGTAATTTTGCAGTGGGATAGCTGTAATATACCCTTTTTATTGGGAATCCTTCACTGTCAATTTTAACGATACAAATCACAAGTGTTGATGCTGACAGGATGTCCACCAGTTAGCTTACATGTTTTGGTGTTACTCTGTTCTCATATGAAAACATATATTTTCTGGTATAAAGATTTCAGATCACACGGATTTATGTAGTATTGCATTTCTGCTGCTGTAATTCTACGAAATGAAATATAACCTGTTATTTGATTTTGTTTTGGAATATATGCATGCATGCATGCGGAAATATGTGTATACACTCGCTTGCTATATAAGCGCTTTTCATGTATGATACCCACTTGACTGTTTTGCTGTGATCTCAAAACCAACGGTTTGGCTTAAACTATGGATACAAAATATCACGCTATGAAAGATTACAAATAATGAATTGTGTACATAATTAGATTAACGGGCACACTACAAAATATGAACTCTAGCAAGACTGTGGACAGTGAAAATGTACTATTGGTGAAGTTGATTGAAAAGTAGCGTTGCCCTTCTTGAGAATTTGTCTATTGTAAAGAAACTCATTTTATTATTTATTTAGACAGCCTAGTCATATTCTAGAAGCTCTTTCTGTCCTGTAAAGTGTGTCGCAAATAGTTCAGTGGTATTTAAACAATTAAATATCGTGAATTATATTTATTCTAGAATGTGATCTGGGATGTGACGTCGGTGAGATATTTACCAAAATTTATCATAAAAAAAATTAAATGGATTATTGTGAAGTAATCAGAATTTATAGTATCAAGGATGATAATAATAGATCAAGTGACGTAATTTTATCTCATTCAGAAAATCTCTTGTAGATTATACATTTGACTCGTATGTTGTATTTGACGGTGAGTCATGCAGTTCCAGCCGGAACGTGGCAGTTTATTTTTAATTTAACAGTGAATGCACTGTATTTTATACACGTGAACTTCCTATTCATTACTTTGAAAAAAAAGATTCATATACGTTTCCGATGATATGAGTTTGACTTCTCATTTCTCCTCAGTGCACAGTGAAAATTGGAAGTAAATTATGTAGAAGTAGCATCTATCAACACACCATTAGCCGATTGATAATTAAAATTACTAACTGATATAGGCTCTGATTTGGATTAACAACTTTTAAGTTGATTTATATGTGCTTTAGTTTTGTCTTGCATGGATTGTCAAATTTTTACTCTGTATCCTGCGTGTTTGCTGGTGGCATGGTTTCCACCATATTGTGTGTCACATAATTAATCAATCAGATCCACTTTGGCTAATCACAGCGTGACGGCACGGTGACAAAGCACTCTGCAATTAATAACCTGTTGAGGTAAAACTAACATGGTCACTGGCTGGCTCTGTTGCTGTACTCGATAAACTTCCACCCTGGCTTTGACCGTTAACACATGCATAGTCTCAAATGCTATTATAAATTTTAAGAAGAACCTTTTAAATCACCAGAGAAAAAATTCCATAGAGAAGCTTTATAATCCATACCCTCATTCAAATAACAGTAATCTAATCAGGGAGGATGAGATGGACGTAGCATGGTTAGATTCTCTTGCGTTTTATTTGTCCTCGTTTCTTATGAGCGTAATAGGATTTCTCGTAAATTGTGATTGCTGATTGAATATTTTTATAATTATATACCACTTTATTACCGTTGTGGTCATTTCTTTAAACCACCGATCTCTAAATCTTCTAAGCATAAAATAATTTCGTAGCCTTTGCTGGTCTACAAAATCAGTACTGGATAAATAATATTTCAAGCTTACCAACATAACTCACATCACTCATGTCATATCTTCGTGTATTTTTGCGATGATAATTATGTCACAGTTTTAATTGTTTTAAATCGCTTTATGCTAAGAAATATACAATAAATGTTGTAAAGGAACCGTGAATAAATACTTCAGTTTTCATGTGCGTGCTCTTCATCAAAGCTTAAGCACACAAATATTTAAATGTAATCAAATTGATGATGCGATGAAGAATGTATTTTCTAAATTTTGCGTCAGTTACTTACCGTGGACGTCTACGCAGCCGACCTGCTTCTTCATGACGTTGGTGTTGATCTGACACATGTAGCAACCCCGATCAGACTCCTTCACCTGACGGATGTGGAGCTGCCACGTGCGGTGATTGTCGTGCGTCACGCTGATCCGTGAATTGTGCGTCACGACTTTGTTGTGAAGCGTCAAGATCGTCTGGTCCTCCGCCTTCATCCATCCCACCTTGGGGGGAGAAATTACATCTTGATCATTAATCACATTAACAATGGAGAAATGTGCGATACACAGTCTTTGTAAAAGGCCAGTTCACACTGAAGTTAATGTTTAGAAAAACGCGCATATAAAACATATTTCTTAAGCCCGGATAAAGATAGAACCTGTAAAGTGGTTTGTGTTTCAGTGTGAGGTTAGTATTTGCACTTATTCTCCATTTCGTATCTCCAAAACGGTAGATGAGAATAACAGTATCGCGTATTACTTTTATCAGCCCGTTAAACAGAAAAAATAACATTTATATGTTGCAGTAACCGTAGATTTATCAACATTTTGTAGGACTGAAAAAGCCATCGTGGAGGATTCCCCGTGATTGCGCCGTGCCACTTTGGAGCACAAAAGCACATGTAGGTTTCAATGTGAAGTCCCCTTTCTTGTCCGATCCTAACCAATACTGGGATGTGTCGAAAAATTTTCCGCAAAGTTTTCCTAATATAAAATTTCGTGAAAATCCATTGAGAGTTTCTCTAGTAGTTTTATGCGGACATATGGATGGACAAAGATAGACATATCGGATCTAAGAGGCGAATTATGACAACTTTTAGTTGCGAGCATGCCTATAAAAGAACTGGCTACCAGTCAAACATTTTGTGATAGAAACAAATATCTTAGGTCTCACAGGTGTAAGGAGGTTATTTATAAATTCAATATTTTCTACATTTATATTTCAGTTAACTAAGAACAATTCATATAATTGATTATGTAGTGTGATAAGAATAAATTAAATTCAAAGATCCAAAAAATTTCGCCTTATAATACATCAGGATTTTAGAATCTCCACCACAAAGGAGTTAGATACGCCTTAATGTGTCGTCTCGATGAAATCGAACCAATTCTAGATATACTCTGCTATTTGCTAACCCTCCTCTCCAGATGTATGGGAATGTCAAGTATGTTTTACATGGTCCTGTTTCCCAAACAAATTAAATTCCACTCTGTGAAGCTAAGAGCTTACCATTCTGCTCCCCACGCGAAACTTTGCAGATGAGCGATTCACACCAGCTTGTGAGTGTGCAGCTGGAACATTTTATGTGCGTACGGAATCAGCAGCAGATAGATAGATACTCTACTCGAAACAGGTCACGTTCCCACAATTTTCATATCAGAGAAGAGATTCAAGATTAAATTGCGTGGAGCTATACCTCCACTTCCACAATTCCTCTGTTTCCATCGTATGTTTCAGCTAATCCGCATGCGCAGTCTTGTCAGACTATTATCTTATTAGAGATCGTAATCGTACAGATGTTAGCATTCCTGATACTATTCAGGAGGACAGGGGTTCGAACCATCGCCGGATACGTATGTCTTGGCTGAGATTTTTCGCACTGTGCCCGATTTCTATAGTGCTTTCACTGTATCATTACTCATAATCACTCGTCATAAAACGATAGAGGCTAATTTTTAATCCATGCAGCTGAAGCATCGTTTTCATAGATGCATAAGATTTTGAATATTTTACTGAGTATCTAGGATTCTCTTACATGGCTTTTCACGTATTATAACTTGCAGACTACTCTAAGCAATATGCGAAATGTTAACACGGTCGACGCACAGCAAAGTGTTTCGTCTATTTAGTTGACCAGAGTCACACCAGGCACGAACTCAACACTCCTGGGAAAATGCGTTTCGATCTTGAACAAACATGGGAATCTATTCAAGTTACGCACGAGAAGTCGTATCAAGGAGCGCTGTTCCAGACCCCCGTCACTTCAAGTAGAGCTTCTTCACCGTGACAACTGGAAAGCGGCTACACCTTCCGTCAGACTTCGTACAATGTGGCCGCTGGACCGTGAAATAACATTCTGCCAAGTTGGGACGAGAACTACATGAGCGTCCAGGTTCGTATGAGATGGAAATTTCACTGACCCTGCAGCTCTCACACCTTCGAGTTCAGATATTCCTGTCTTCACTTCATGTCGGCTACCGAGACGGCTGATGGGATCAGAACACGGGACACGCAAACGGTAGACGAGAAAATATTACTAAAATGGATTTAAGAGAAATGGCATGTGATGGAACGAACTTTATTCATATGCAGAGACTCGTTTGTGAAAACGTGGCCATCACGTGAAGGTTATTTTGGAATTAAAATAGATTCTTTATGAGAATCGTTCAATTACACCCTTCGTTTTAAGAGGGAATGACTGGCTTATGAGTCAAAACAGTGCACCTTTTCAGTCGTTTGTTTTATGTAACCCAAATGAATGCTTCTTGCAACTATTGATGCTTGTTGTCTGTCATTAAATAAATTGAATGAATGATGTAGTTTGGATGTTAGTTTTTCACTTGAAGTACCTGGTTTTCAGAAAACATTTGTAATCCAAACTGGTCACATGTTCTGCCTGTTTCATGGGGAGACAGCTGACATGGAATTCACTCTCGTTTGTAACATTTATTTGTTTCAGTAAAAATAACACTTTAACCTATTTACTCTAAGCTGCATACAAGTCTCATAAATATTAGCCGGTGTGTCATTAAGCAGAAACTACAGTACGTGACATTACAGTGTATCGAAGTATGCTTTTCCAAGGTAAATGTACCGTATGAAAACCATTATATTTTCCATCCAAGTCCTCTCTGACCACGAAAGAAGACTAATTAGTTATTAAGAAAATAATACTTCCTTGGGTTGAGTTTTCTTAAAATATTTTGCAGAATTAATAAAATTTCGTACGTGTGTTAAGGGAGTCTTGTGAATACAAGGTAAATCGCTGTTGATTAATGCCGTGATGGTGCTTCGTACATGTTAGTTAATTGAAGCGCTGAAGATGGAGGCAGTATGTTGATTATAGAAACGTTGGTATCTGCCTTGCTAGCCTGAAATGCCATTTGTCCTTTATCTTATTTTTAAGCAAAACTCCGTGTACACGACTTTTCGTTTTATTATTCATCCTAATAATATTTTGTACAACATTAATTTTCGTACAGATGTGGAACCCCCCCCCCGCTCAAGCACCCATATGGCGTATTATAACAGAACATACCGAACATTTAAGAAAAGGAATGCGCAGATTTAACCTGCCCGGTTTAATTTGCAGTGAATATTTTAGTTTGAATTTTAATTACTGTACAGTACAGATTTATTTCCGTAAAGCATCGAATAAAGCAATATTTTTCGGTAGGGTGTGTTAAATCGTATTCCCAGTATCTAAATTTTCACATGATTTGAATCTAATTACAAACAAAATTTCTATTCTCTCATATCTATTTCATTACACTTACATTATTTGAACAAGCAGAATACCTCAGTGCTTCCGTCGAGATTAAATCTGAGCGCTTCAAGTGCGTTTCGTATGTGTACACATGTACAAACATACAATCTACACGTAAAATTTAATAATGAACTTTCTATTAATGTTTTAATTGGATTTCGATTATATAGTTTTACATGTTACTGACAAATTGAAAATGAATTTAAAATGCTTGAAGAAAAGTCTGTAACGGACATTGGTTTAAGGGTACAGAATGATGTCCTCCAGAATTATTTTACTGATCTGCCCGCGTACACGCCTAAAGACAATACATAAAAAATTATAATTTACTGATACTAAACCTCGTCTCTCAGACCGAAGGCAAATAAACTGGGGGTCTTTCAGAGTAAAGGACTGAGGATAACATGTGGACGTAGAAGATATGAATCAACAGCAGAGGTTTCGCTAATCGATCTAAAAAGTTCTACTGAATGTCTGTATGGACTGTTTCAGAGGTTAATTTTTGAGAATCAGAGGCCTAATCCATGAGATCTGAAGAAAAGACGATGTTGACATAAAATTTTGGTTGTATCTTGTTGGGAATGTCATACATACAAGACATCCAATATTACACGTAATCTCTTTGCGCCCTCTGCGAATTAGGCTATCGTACGTCTGTAAATCGTCAACTGATATCGTCAAAAGAATTTATAGAATTTAATGAAACGTTCGATAAAATCCTTCAGTGCATACCGACAGGCTGACTGGCAGGAATTTTACATCAATACATTTATATTCTAATAGTACATTTTATTTATGATTTTCCTTACTACTGATTTCGACCACATAAAACGTTGCATGATCTACACTATACACTCTTTATCCGCAAAGTTTTACACCATTTCCACGTTTTGTGATTAACATACTGTATAAACAAGAGTGTTCGATACATAATTGGCAGTTACAATTTCATATGCCTAATTCCAGTGGTTCATTAGTTATCATAAAAATAAATGTTAAATAAATATTTCGTCATACCGCACTGTTTATATACGCAATCTCATTTACTATGTCATCAATATATGTTAACTAACTAACTAACTAGATGGCTTAGGGAACCCAAAGGTTCATCACCGAATTAGCCAAAGCCCTCCTGTTCCAGCAAAATCCATTCGACCATCAATATATTTTACTTTAACAAATACAATTGTCAGTAACACACAGATATTTAATGATTTATCTGTAACAGTTATGATGATAAGCTTTAATAATCGTGCATTCGCAAGGAGAAAAAACCCAACTCTATTGTTAAGCGTCTTAATCACAAGATATTTGAATCATTTAACTACATCTGACAATCATTTCAGTTGTGAAACTGAATACTAATTGTTATGTGTAGCTAAAAGACATGGAGACAATAGTTCTAAAACCCGTCGTGGCTTTTCAGTTTATATTGAACAAACAAGTTGCAAACCGTGGAGCGTATAATTGTTGCAAATGTTAAGGAGACTAAATGGAGGTGCAAATTGTAAACAGACGTGTGTTTTCCACTTTATACTTTACGAACAAGGTGCAGTCCTGGGATTGTACAATTACTGTAATTAAGGAGAACTGAACAGAAGTGAAATCAGCTTAAAATATTAATTAGAAGGAAAAGAGGTGTGGCGCTCTTAAGCGCTCCACTGTTTTAAACAAACGATCAGGCACGAAGCGTACCGTCCATGTCTGCGCAGAGCTAATAAGCACTGAACTCATCGT